GATGGATGGAGGGATGATGGATGGATGATGGATGGATGGATGGATGGATGGATGATGGATGGATGGATGATGGATGATGGATGGAAGATGGATGGATGATGGATGGATGGATGATGGATGGATGGATGGATGATGGATGGATGGATGATGGATGGATGGATGATGGATGGATGATGGATGATGGATGGATGGATGATGGATGGATGGATGGACGGATGGATGGACAGGTGGATGATGGATGGACAGACACACATGGGGTGGAGATGGGGGGTGGAAGGACATGGATTTGGGGTGTAAGGATGAGGGAAGAGAAACTCGGGGGTGGGAGGGGAGTGTGGGGTGGAGCCAGGGATGCCCCCCCAGGATGGAGGATGAGGATGGGGACAGCTGGGATGGAACAGGGGGATGGGACAGAGGGAAATGGGTTTGGTGTGGAAGAACAAGGATGGAAACATATGGGATTGGAAAACGTGGGATTGGGATGGGATGGAGGGACAGGGATGGGACAGGTGGGATCAAGGGATGAGAACGGAGCTGGGTGGGTTTGGGACAGAGGGATGGGACAGAACAGGATGGAGCCCGGCGGGATGGAGAGCAAGAGGGCAGAGGTTTGGGGGCACGGGGGGATGACGGGGAGAACACGGAAGGTGCTGAGTACCCCTCTCCCCCCAGCCCTCTCCCCACCTCGAGGCTGCGGTGTCGCTCCCCGAGCCCTTCAGGTTCAGCTCGAGCTGCCCCGGCCCAGCCCGGTTGGAGTCTGCGGCGAGCAGCTGCTCCGAGAGCTCCCGGAGCTCCGCGTCCGACACAGCCCGGGGGGATCCCGGTACCGCCCGGGGGGATCCCGGTACCGCCCGGGGCTCCGGCACCGCCCGGGGCTCCGGTACCGCCCGAGGAACCGGGGGCACATCCCCGCTGCCCCCCGCGCCGGTCACCAGCAGCAGCCACAGCAGCCACGGAGCCATCGCGACCTCTCCCCCCCCGGCCCCGCTGTCGCTTATAGCTGCTGCTATCGTCGCGATAATGCCCCAAGGTCGCGATGTGACCTCGACAGAGGGGAAGACCCCGGGCCGGGGACAGCCCGAAGCCCCCCGGGCTGGCTGGGGGGGGCTGCACTCACAGTTCCCCCCGTTTCTGTGCCCGAAGGTTGATTTGGGGGCTCGCCCCCCAAAACTTGACCCCTCCCGGGGTGTTGGCACCTCCAAATCTGTCCCCTCCGCCCCCCCCGGAGCTGTTTAATGTTTAAGAGACCAAATGTGGTCTCTCAAGGACTTCCCAGGGGGGAGGTCACGGCCCCTCCACTCACTCCAGCCTCAGCTCGGGGGGGACAGGGGGGGATTTGGGGGGTGGCAGAAGCAGGGGGGGGCCCTGGGGGGGACCCGCGTGGGGCTCTGTGGACCCTTGAGGGGATTGGGGAGCACAGAAGCACCTGCGGGTCACGGAGGGGATCGGGGGGGCCGTGGGGCAGCGGGGGGAGATCACCGGGGGCTGTGGGAGCGGGGGGGCTGCGGGAGTGCTCAGGCAGAAAGGG